CTGTTACTCTGTGTGCTACATAAACGGATGATCAAAGACGCAAATGATGGACATCATTTTCGAAAAACAACAGCACACAAGCGTCCTATGGTGTCTACACAAGCATCGACCATAAGTTATCCTATCTTTGGAAAGAGCAGAGTCTGGGTTTTAAATTGATGGGCTACTTGTATGGTTTGGATCATTTTCCCCGAGGTTGGTGAACTGAAAACGTAATGATTGTCAGGCGGAGGTTCTGCTCCTCTCGGTGCTCGGGGGKGCTCGTCACTCGGCTTTAGTCTATGCTGTAATATACACTCTAACAACATTTTCCTTTTGCATAAAACTCATGACAAAGTCGCATAAAAACATTTCATATAACACAAACGCGCGCACACACCTACCTGTACCGGCTGCTGTGTTAGCTTCCTGCTAGCTGTCGTGTGGAGGTGGTCTTGGCAGTAAAAGGGGATAAATGTACATTTCCCTTTTGTAACTCCGTCTTCTCATTTCTGATGCTGGCTCTTGAATATCCTCAGGCTAGAAATGCTGATTACAAACGCAAGCGTGAGCTTTTAAAGATAAGTTTTCCCTGTGATGCTATGATCCACTGCTGTCACCTCCTCATCTAAAGGAAAATGGAGAAAAACTAACTACTTGATCGTACTGCTGCTTAGTGGATACAACGGCACACAACAGAACTCGCGTTTTATACCAGTAGCTCACAGATGCTTTAACTTTTGTGACTTTTTCATGGACTAGTACTAGCAGCTAAYGCTAAAAACATAGGCAGTAAGCAGGGAATGGAAGGGAGGAGCGTGGCAAGAATTTTACCGGAAATACATCATTAATGACCGTGGCATATAGGCTATTGAGACGCAGCCAGTATATCACATTCAGATTACAGTTTAGACCTAAATCCAACTGAAAACCTATGGCAAGACTCGAAAACTGCTGCTCAGAGATGTTCTTCAGCTGATTTACAAAGAAAAATGGGCAAARAGTTTGACGTTCTAAAGACAAACCCCAAAAGACTTGCAGCTGGTGAATGCAGTGAACAGTACTGACTCAGAGGAGTCAATACAAATGTAAGCAGCACTGTTCAGATTTTTTATTAAAACAATGTTTGAAAGCCAAGTTTTATTTTCTTTCCACTTCACAAATATGACCAGGTTTGTGTTGGTCCATCACAGAATGTAAAGTACTGAACTCTGTACCTGAACACAGAACAGAACCAGGGTGGCCATGCCGCACCAGCTGTGCAGGGAGTACATGTCAGGGATCTTAGCTGCCTTGTGGAAGTCGAACACGGCTACAATCCCTACAAACACACACACGCACACACCAGATGTATCAGCCGATGTATTTTCTTTTCATCTGGAGTAATATTCTCACCTAAACGTCTTCATCTTACCTACGATACTGATGATGAGAGCGAGGAGGTGAATGATACCGTGAAGCAGCTTCACGTTCCTCTTTGCTTCGTTGCGAAACACCCTGTAGACCAGGATGGCTGGAGACAAACGTCAGATCAGTTAGACAACCAGCTGAACAAACACTGTTTCTAATTTCCTCTAATGTAGAATAAAGAATAAAAAACTAGAGCATGTATGCAAAAATGTTGAAGGCTTGAACTGCTGCCTGAAACATTCATCATCTTTCTCCTCTAAACACCATCTACTATTTTCTAGCTCTAAAATATCTTTTAATTGTTTTTTTTTTAGTTTGTTTTTTTGTTTTAGTACAGGTGTTTAGAGGTTGATCAGGACAGTAAAACACTCCCTGTCAGATGTAACCACGTTAGTTTGGATTTCTGTTGGTGCTTGTGTGAGAAACCACCCCTGGGTGTTTCCATCTGCCACCAGCCTCGGTACTTGGTCCTCATTTATTGTCCAGCTGACCTTTTCCTTTATTGACCTAATATAATTTAACACTGAACTGATTCAACTAATGCGATTCTTCTGGTAAGCAGAAGTCCCCAGGGCTGTAGAGGACAAATCCATCAGACAGCAGATCTTTGGACCATGATTCTGCCAGTTTGTGGAGGTTTAAAACTCAAATGGGAAACAGTTTTTAAAAATTGACATTCTGGAGGTTTTTCATAATGAGGATTGAACCAGGATAGTTGAAGTATTGTTAAACAGTAAGAAGCTAACATACACTCACCGGCCACTTTATTAGGTACACCTGTCCAACTGCTCGTTAACACTTAATTTCTAATCAGCCAATCACATGGCGGCAACTCA